AACTGAAAAATTTTGGGTGAAAACATAGCATTCACAGATTTCCTAATGAAATACACAACTCTCTTTAAAATATATTTTTTAATATATTTTACTAGAGGCCCAGTGCATGAGATTCATGCACAGGGGGAGGGGGGGCAGTACCTCAGCCCAGCCTGCACTCTCTGCAATCCGGGACCCCTCGGGGGATGTCCGACTGCCTCTCACAATCTGGGATCACTGGCTCCTAACTGCTCGCCTACCTGCCTGCCTGATCGCTCCTAACCACCTCTGCCTGCCTGCTTGAACGCCCCTAACTGCTCCCTTACCAGCCTGATCACCCCTAACTGCTCCCTTGTTGGCCTGATTGCCTCTAACTGCCTCTGCCTCGACCTGCACCCAGGACCCAGGATTCCATCCTCTGGCCAGCCACAGGCACCCAGAACCCGGGTCGGCTTCGCCCGGGCTGTCTACAGCCTCCAGCAACCGTGGGCAGGTGGCTTTGTCCAGGCTGCAGCCGCAGGTGCCCGGGTCCATGGGGTGGGCAGCTTGTACCTCTCCTGGGCTACAGGTGCTGGTGCAGCTGTTGGCGCCCGGGACCACTGGGTGGGCGGCTTGTCCCTCTCCTGGATCGCAGGTGCAGATGCAACCGCTGGCATCTGGGACTGCTGGGACCATGGGACATGCAGATTGTCCCTCTCCCAGGCTGCAGGTGCAGTTGCTGGTGCCTGGGACCGCAAGGTGGGCAGCTTGTCCCTCTCCTGGGCAGCCACCCCAGCCGCTGGCACCCAGGACCACAGGGCATGTGGCTTGTTCCTCGCCCAGGCCGGGTAACAGGCACAGGCACAGGCATAGGCACAGGCACAGCCTCTGTACCCAGGGCCACAGGGTGTGTAACTTGTCCCTCTCCCAGGCCACAGGTGCAGGCGTTGGCACCCAGGACTATGGGGCAGGTGGCTTATCTCTCTACTGGGCCGTAACCCTAGCCACTGGCACCCAGGACCGTGGGACGGGGAGCTTGTCCTTCTCCCGGGCTGCAGCCTGGCTGGTCCCCATTCCTCTCTTGCGAGCTCATTGGTGCCTGTGTGGTCCCCATTCCTCTCTCCCCAGTGTTGAGTGTCTGAGCCATTACAGCATGATGACCATTTGCATATTAGCTTTTTCTTATATAATAGGGTTGATTTTTTACAGAGAGGAAGGGAGAAGGAGAGGAATAGAGAGCTAGAAACATCAATGAGAGAGAAACATCGATTTGTGCCCGCAACCAAGGTACATGCCCTTGACCGGAATCAAACCTGGGACCCTTCAGTCCGCAGGCTGATGCTCTATTCACTGAGCCAAACTGGTCAGGGCTAAGATATTTTTTATGTCATAAGTAATTAAGTATTCCATTTGTACATAAAAGAGATTGTGAGTTTATTTAGATAAAATTTTATTTTCTTTCTTAAATAATTTAAAGTGCTATCCAATGTTTCTGATTTGGTTTTATCATATCCAAACTATTATATTTCATCTTTAGTTTGTTAGGAAATGGTACTTTGCCACAGGGACTCAGTGTGGCATACAGTAACAGTAATACACTATCTTTATCATGCAGAGATGAAGTGACCTGCCAGTTTCCTTTGAGCTGTGTGTCCTTTAGAGTTGATGAACTTTACATGGATCCACTCATATTCTTCTTTGCTTGGCCCCCTCAATAATCATAGATATGTGTACAAATACTGTAACTATGGGAGAGTCACTAGGTCTGTGGCCTCTGCCATAGATGCATTAACCAGATAAGCTCACCACAGTTTTCATTAAAGTGATAGATTTGAAATGATTGTAAAGCAGCTTACTTGGTCTTGCAGCCAACTTTCTGCTTAACAGCATTAATCTAAATTTCCTGATGGAATCAGGAGATGGGAAGCCCAAGCATAATGGTAGTAATGTGCTATCTGGTTTGTTTTCTTTCAGACTTTCGGCCAGTTTGCTATGAGGAACCCCGGCACTGGTGCTCAGTTGCTTACTATGAACTGAACAATCGAATTGGTGAGACGTTCCAGGCTTCCTCCCGAAGTGTACTTATAGATGGATTCACAGACCCTTCAAATAACAGGAACAGATTCTGCCTTGGACTTCTTTCTAATGTAAACAGAAACTCAACAATAGAAAATACCAGGAGACACATAGGAAAGGGTAAAAGAAATATGTAACTTCTTTTTCTGTTCTTCTGAGCTAAAGTATGGAAACAGAAACAAGCCATTCATTGGCCATGTAACCTATTGGGATGGCACAGGGATGGGTTTCTCTGCCTATTAAATGGGCATGACATCTTTTGCGGGGTAGCATAGTGTGCATATTATGAAGACAAACAAGATGATAAATGTGAGTACAGGATGAAATCATTAAATGAAAGGATTCTGGATTATTTTTGAGTTGCTCAAAGATGCTAGATAACTCCTGAAGAAGAATAATTCTGGCTGGTTGATCATTTATATAAGGTAAAGTTACCTTTGGAAACTTAGAAGCTAGGGAGTTAAACATCCTGACTTATTTATCTTTGGAAATGACTGGGGCTCTCCTGTGTCCAGGCATTGTTACAGGAGCCCATGGCACAAGCCTCACTGGGGTCTGGACAATGATGTTTTTGAAGCTTCCTTTATTGGCAGAGTCAATGGTTGAGTGGCAGGCCTGGTTGAGGATCTTTAAATCATTTTCTTTTATTTTAGAACTAAGGCCCAGTGCACAAAAATTTGTGCACTTGGGGGGAAGAGGGGGGTCCCTCAGCCTGGCCTGTGCCCTCTTGCAGTCTGGGACCCCTCGGGAGATAACGACCTGCTGCCTTAGGCCTGCTCCTGGGTGGCAGAGAGCAGGCCCAATCCCTAGGTGCAGCCCCTGGTCAGGCTCAGAGCAGGGCCGATTGGGGAG